ACAAAGAACAGTTCATCTAAAAAGGCTAAAAAAATTAGCTGCTAAGAAAGTGAAACTGAAGAAATTAGCAAAGGTAAAGACGAAAGTGCTTCATGTTGACAAGACAAAAAAGAGGAAAGTTCTTGTTAGAGGCGAAGTAGCCAAAGCAAAGAAACTGGCTCGAGAAACACAGGCCTCTATCTCTAAACAGAGCAAGAAAGTTGCACCAGTTTCAGCAAACTCTGATCAGAAAAACGTCGTGTTAGACTTTTTTACAGGTCCATGTGAAAAAAATTTCTTCAGACTCCTGTGGAGGTAAGATTTTAGGAGAGGGGTGTTATGGTAAACCCTCCTACAGTAGAATGAACTCTTCCTCCTCTCATAAATACTAACTGCGAGAGTTTGGTTGGGGAGGAGTTAGGCGCAGTGCTAACCTGCCGTTCGGACGTACCCCACTAACTACTTATTACTAACACTCTTGCTTTGTATATATCTTCAATATACTTGTTCAACCTACCTTCGTCTTTCGTGTCTTTCTTTCTGAACCCTAAACAGGCCACAGCGCCATCTTGCATCTGAAAAGTTGATAGGATTTTACTATCATCTGTTCATTAACATGAAAAAAACACTTGGCTGTATCGAGTAATGATAAAGTCCTATTGGTAAATTTTGACTAACAGGATGAACAGTCTTCTGGAAAGCAGTATTGTGGTTATTAATAAGAAGAGTTGAAATTAATGCATGAAAGATTTCACAGTTCTAACAACACTCTTTCATAGTCAGCCTATTTACTCTTTAGCCAACTCTTTTACGTGGGAATAAACAATGTATTTATTAATAAGAAGAATTTAAATTAATGCATGAAAGAGTTCACAGATTTAGTTCACTCCCTCGTAGTAAGCCTTTCAACACACCCTCGTTATGTATGTATGTATTGTGTGAGAACCCCCCCTCACCCACCTTTCTGTCTATAGATGCATGTTTTAACTCAGCAAATTCATCTTTTCTTTAAACCTGAACACGCAGATACAAGCCACCTGGCCATTTCAACATTTCTTCAGAGAAGCATAAACAAACGAAACCCAAATGGAGGCAGGCAGTTCGTTTCTAAGCAGTTTACTAATAGTTTTTTTTTTTTTTACATGTTTTAATCATTTTTCTACAGTATATTATTAAGCAGCTTGCACATATAAACTGCACATCGCTTAAATTGTTTAAAATATGCTGGGAGCAACCTTGCGTATGAACATATGGAATCGCGTTGGTTATTGGAAGAAAATCCAATCAGGATATTCTCCGCTATTTTCCTGTTTACTATCGTTTAGTGTTTGGCTTTGTTTTTGTCATTTCACCCGAAGCAAGACGATAAAAGCCAGTATGATGCAAGGGGTTACTGAGAGTGTAAGAGACAGAGGGGAAAATAGAACAAAAGGAATACTAATCTTTATTCAACACAATATAACAATGTATAAAGCGGATCATGTATCTCAGTGACGATTTTTGCCACTTACGCAAGAGCTGTAAACAGAGAATGATTCAAATTAAAATCCTAATATGGACCATTTTGTTGGCTTGTTGCAGATACTGTTGTATTTATCCCAATCTATAAATATATTTCTTCATCTATTGAACTCAAATTAACAATTTGAAATGTTGTGTCTGACGCTATCTAAGCATTACCTATCACAGCTAAAATAAACCAATAAAAAAGAGTTTGAAATGAACCAAATTATTCAAAATCTCTTGGAAGTAAGAAAAAATAGCAGAGCATGCCATAATTTTATCAAAGTAGCCTTTCTGATCACTATTATTTTCAGAATGCGTTATAATTAATCCAGTGCATCGTGGCATCTGCAAAATGAGTTATGTCTAGGAGATTTACATAATTTTGTGACGCACGATGGCCATTAAAATTAAGAATAACTTAAGACTTCAATGTTAAGATAAGAAAGAAAGTGCGGTAACATCAGTCAGTTATGTGTCATGCGTGATACACGCGTAGACGATAATGTACCTTTCGATACATGACTGACGAGGCAGATTTTTTCCCCGCAGTAGGTTGCCATTTCTTTCTGCGGTAAACCAATTGCCATCCAAGGCTATAGAACTTGATCTGTCCTGCTATTTACCATAGCTGAGTGGAGAAGAAGAGGATTCATACCAAGGTTATTAGCACGTAAGTGAATGTAATGGATCCGACTGGAATTGGAACTCGGCTCTCTGATTACCTCAATCCGAGTCGCTATCCATTACTCCACCGTGCCTCCCTAAGGGTTTTTTTTTTTTAAAAAAGACAGATTTTAGGAGAAAAGAAACACCGTAGAAAATATAAATAAATAAATACTTAACAAGAACAAAGAAGTAAAAGTCAACCAAAGATAATTAACCATTTCAGTGAATACCTTGTTAGTTGCGCGGCTCGATTTAATGTCCTGTAAATCATAAATCAAAACCCAAATCATCGACGCACAATAATTCACACTAATTCGACTGGATAGTTCCACTCAATAATCACTCAATAATCACCCCAGTCAGTAGCCTGACACCGCTATTGATACACCTGCCGGAAAACATATATTCATAAGTCCAGAATGTCACACTTGAACCTCGATGTCGGTAATTACACATTTTCTTTCTATATGACGCATAAACAAAAATAGAGAAAACATTGTGTCACGTTGCAACAAATGCGCTTGTGCAAAACAGCCATTCTACTCAAACAGGATTTCATCTCATTCAGACAAAGACGTTTCAAGGTCGAAATCGAAATCCAGTATCGTTTAAGGATACTAATTTTCTTGTTTTGCATAGATTGTTAATTCAAATAGACAGATATTTTTACTTGGTGACAAGTAATCACATCAAAATATATTTTATTACAATCGCTGTTTGCTGTAATAATTTAAAACAAAACACGATGTGTCATAACACAATAGTAAATCTTAATAGGTTTGATTTGTTGTGTTTTACGGCCTATCAACCTCAATGGGTTATTTAATGCCAACAAAGTTTTTATTGCTGGTAATATTTTGTTTTTCAAAAATCTATTTCTGGCAATAATTTTTTCCTTAAAATGTACTGCTGGTAATATTTGTCTCCATCAAAAATGCATTTCTAGCAATATCTTTTCAAAAAAATTGTTGGTAATATCTTTTTTTTTCAAAAATGTATTGCTGGTAATAGTTTTTTTTCTTCAAAAATTTATTACTGATATATATATATAATTTTCTTTTACAAAGTATTCCTGGTATTAAAACCCACTTTTACCCCAGTTTTGGGGTTAACTATTTGCCCATAGCTGGGACCCTAACAGGTGCTACCAACCTAGGTCAGGGTGAACCCGGGAACACCAGCAATTAAGAGGTGGTTCCACGCTCCTCAAAACCTCCTGATCAGAGGCCTTGCTGCTGGACGTAATTTATCGTCTTACCCAGGACGCAAATCTTAATACAAAACACGATATGTCATAACACAATAGTAAAACTTCAACAAAACAAAACACGATATGTCATAACAGAGTAGTAAAACTAAATCAATATAAAACACGATGTGTCATAACAGAATCATTGCAAATGAATTTTAGATTGCGTGACATCGTCATTCCGAATCGGCGTCATCGCGTTTGTAAACGGATGTTGTTGCTACTGTCATTATTCTTCTGACCAAATAGACATTATCGTAACAAATTGCTGCTAACGTTGTCACGTGACTTATCAAAGTAATCGCAATCTTATTTATTTACTTATTTATATGCGTATGTATATTTACCCTGTGGGCGTCAGATTTTATTATACAAGTCAATTCGTTAATTCATAACACAAGTTAATATATGATTGTCTCTTGATAGGACGTGCACAAATCTTAAATATATTTCGCTTACATTTTTTCAGGTCATCACTATATACATTTACTTACACATTGTGAATCTTATGGAAAATTATGCATATAAGGTTTCAAAAATCACTTTATATGTGTAATTTGCCAAACATTTTATAATGATCTTTTTATTTACCATAAAAATAGCTGTGTGTCTCTGTAAACGGACGACTGCACATTTATAAACTTTTACAGATTTTAATGAAATCCTACAAAAGTAGAATGACCTCAAATATAGAAATAACTAGTAAAAACAAAATTATTGATCCATAATAATTATTGAGTTTATATTGAAGTATTTTATTTGATGTCTAGTTTATTATTTAAAAAACGTGCTAAATACATTTATAGATAATTTTATATTAACTAACATCACGATGCTCAGCATTCTCCTTCTTATTTTTGCTATGAAATTATGAGCTGAAGTTAAATGTGTGATACATCAATAAATCTATTCAAGTTCTCTTTACAATGTTTGATTTTTTATCAAAGATCTTTTTTCAAACGTTTTTCGCCACCATCAACAATAACTTAAGTAATTTTCTTCAACGTCTGTTTCTTTTTATATAGTTAATAAATTCAGTTTCTACTTAGTTTATTACCATCGATTTTAGATACTATATATTATGAAACCAAGACAACTAATTTCTCTGTCTCTTTTTAAATAATTTTGTATTTTGATCCTTTGTCGATCACTTTATTGTTGTTGTTCTCTGTGCTGTTCTGAATGCTATCTTAGGGTTCCAGCTGTTCTTGAAAGGAACAAAATAGTCTCGTCTTTTTTATATTTTCTCTGACTTTTTAGGGTGCATTCTTTGACTCAACTTTTTTGCTTTTCATCTCTCCGTTCAACATTTTATCTCAACTATTTTCTCATTCTCAAATCAGCTTCAGTCTTTGTTGATCACAACTGCAAAGCCTTCAACTTCCCTTTCAATCATTTCAGCCACTTCATTGTTCTATTTTTTGCTTTACTTTTCTGTCTTTTCTATTATTTTATTCCTGATTTTCCAAATATTCTTCGAAGAGTTTCCTTTGTCTTTATAGAACCTCTACTAATCTTCCTTTTAAACTGTATTTTATTCTTCCATTAGCCGTTCATTATTTATTTTACCTTTTTCGTTATTTCTTTTTGTTTTTATCAGTTCTCTTTATTTCATCTATCTATCTATCTTTCTATCTATCTATCTGTGTTTATCTATCTGTCTGTCTATCTATCTGCTTATGTTTCTATCTACCTATGTGTCTATGTGAATATCTATTTATCTATCTGTCTGTTTTCTGTCTATGTATCTATTTATCTACCTATGTGTATATCTATCCATCTGTCTATATATCTATTTAGCTATCTGTCTTTCTGTCTATGCATGTGTCTATCTGTATGCCTATCTTTCTGTCTGTCTACCTGTCTATCAATTTATCTTTCTATCTATGTATCTATCTAGCTCTCTCTCTATCTAGCTCTCTCTCTATCTAGCTGTCTATCAGTTTCTATCTATCTATCTATCTATCTATCTATCTATCTATCTTATTTTCTTACTGTGTTTACGATTATTATTTTCTTTCTGTTACTATTACTTCTTTTTTTTTAACTCCCCCTCGCTTTTTCTCCTTTTCTCTGAGATTTTATCTTTATCAGATTTATCTGAAGCCTCTTTCATGATTTCTATCCTCCTAATCCTACTTCATTTTACATCGTTGTCTTCTTAGTTCATTGTATTGTAAAAATCAAAGCGTACTTCTTCGTACACGCTCTCTTTACCTACCGCTCACAGTGGCGGTAAGTGGCCAAAAGTCTGCAAGACAATTTTGACATCAGGCAGGTGAAAGAAAGAAAGAAAGAAAGAAAGAAAGAAAGAAAGAAAGAAAGAAAGAAAGAAAGAAAGTTTGCTTTTGGGTTTCATGCCGACAAAATTTTTATTCCTGTTATTTTTTTTTTTTTTTTTTAAATGTATTTCTGGTAATATTTTTTTTTTTAAAAATGTATTTCTGGTAATATTTTTTTTTCAAAATGTCTATTTCTGACAATATTTTTTTTTCAAAGATGTATTTCTGGTAATATTTTTTTTTCAAAGATGTATTTCTGGTAAATTTTTTTTTTTCAAAAATGTATTTCTGGTAATATGTTTTTTTCAAAAATGTATTTCTGGTAATATTTTTTCTTCAAAATATCTATTTCTGGTAATATTTTTTTTTCAAAAATGTATTTCTGGTAATATTTTTTTTCAAAAATGTATTTCTGGTAATATTTTTTTTTTCAAAAATGTATTTCTTGTAATATTTATTTTTCAAAAATGTATTTCTGGTAATATTTTTTTTTCAAAATGTCTATTTCTGATAATTTTTTTTTTTTCAAAAATGTATTTCTGGTAATATTTTTTCAAAGATGTATTTCTGGTAAAATTTTTTTTTTCAAAATATCTATTTCTGGTAATATTTTTTTTTCAAAAATGTATTTCTGGTAATATTTTTTTTAAAAAATGTATTTCTGGTAATATTTTTTGTTTCAAAGATGTATTTCTGGTAATATTTTTTTTTCAAAATATCTATTTCTGGTAATATTTTTTTTTCAAAAATGTATTTCTGGTAATATTTTTTTTTTTCAAAGATGTATTTCTGGTAATATTTTTTTTTTCAAAAATGTATTTCTGGTAATATTTTTTTTTTTTTTTCAAAAATGTATTTCTGGTAATATTTTTTTTTTCAAAAATGTATTTCTGGTAATATTTTTTTTTCAAAGATGTATTTCTGGTAATAGTTTTTTTTTCAGAAATGTATTTCTGGTAATATTTTTTTTTTCAAAGATGTATTTCTGGTAATATTTTTTTTTCAAAGATGTATTTCTGGTAATATTTTTTTTTCAAAATATCTATTTCTGGTAATATTTTTTTTCAAAATATCTATTTCTGGTAATATTTTTTTCCAAAAATGTATTGCTGCTAATAATTTTTTACAGAGTATTTTTGTATTAAAACCTATTTTTACACTTTCATAGTGTTTTGACACCAGTTTGGGGAGGTTAACTATTTGTCCATAGCTGGGACCCCCACAGGTGATACCACCCCGGGCTAGGGTGGACCAGAAATTAAGAAGTGGTTCCACGCTTGCTCAAAACCTCCTGATCAGAGGCCTTGCTGTTGGACGTAGTTTATCGTCCTACCCAGGACGCGAATGTCGTTTATCGTCATACACTGGACGAAAGAAAGAAAGAAAGAAAGTGGGGTAACGCAATGAGGAAATTTTAAAAAAAAACGTATATTAGGAGAAAAGAGACGCCGTAGAAAATATGAAAGAAAAGCATTTAAAACCGAGAGAGAAAATAAAAAACAAAAAATATTAATAACTAGACACTAAATATAAGCAAGAGAAAAACATGATTACAGAGTTTATGTTAGCTACTTATTACTCAACTCGATATCTTTTGAAAATATCAAGTAACGTTTTAAGACGTTTTAAGGAACGCCTTGATTTCATCAATTAGTTTTTGTAAGAGGAGAAATTTAAGTTTTTAACTGCGTGACTTTTTTCTATTAAACACCAATAAGAAAATATCTACAGTTTTCTCCCTCCCCCCACGCGTAATAGTGATGTGTTTTCAATGTTTAATTGTTTTCGTCTCCATCTTGTGATCCGCTAGTTCAACTA